GGCGCGGCGCGCCGGGGGCTGCTCAAGCGCAAGCCCAACTTCACGCTGCAGGAGATCGACATCCTCATGAGCGAGGTGCTCAAGTACGAGCAGCTGCTCTTCGGCGCCGCCGCCAGCACCGTGAACGCCTACGAGAAGCAGAAGATCTGGTGGCGCATCACGAACAAGATCAACGCGGCGGGCCGCAACCAGCGCGACATCGGCGAGGTGAAGAACCGCTGGCGGGGGCTGCGCCGCCGCGCCGGCGACAAGATCAGCCGGCACCGGCAGGAGCGGCAGGCGCCGCCCCGCGCCGCCCGCGCCGCCGCCGGTACCGGAGCCGGTACCGGAGCCGATACCGCCGCCGGTGCCGGTGCCGGGTGGGCCCCGCGCGCCGCCGCCGGCCTCGAGGTGGTGGCGCCGCACGGTGGGTGCGAGCGGGACGGGCAGCGCGGCCGGGATGGGACTGGGGAGCTGGCGTGGGGACACTGGGGGATGTCTGGGGTTGGGGGGCGCTGGGGAGCCGCAGTGGGACGTGGGGACAAGGATGTGGGCATGCAGTGTAGGGAACGGTGACAAGGACGGGGTGGGGACGTGGGGCACAGGACCTGGGGCTCTGGGGAGCTGGCATTGGGGACACTGTGGGAACAGGGACGTGGGGAGACTGGGACAAGGATAGGGCAGGGACACGGGGCACAGGGACAGGAGAGAGCAGGACAGGGACATGGGGAGAACTGGGACAGGGAGCTGAGGGACAGCGACTGCCGTGTGGGGAATTGGGATGGGAAACATTCGGGAAACAAGGACATGTGGGGACAGGGAATTGGGACAGGAACAGGAATAGGGGGATGTCAGGGCATGCAGGGGGAACAGGACTGGGCCAAGGACAATGCCATGGTAGGGCAGGGACAGGCACCTGGAGGGGAACAGGGTTATACCAGAACAAGGGACAGGTTGGGGGGTTGGCGGGAGAAGTGACATGGGGGAGACGAAGCCAGGATACGAGTAGGGAGGATGACCGAGTCTGGGACAGGGCGCGTGGGAGCAGCACGGGGCCATGGAGCGGTGCAGAAGGCCGAGCACCTCTGTGGACACGGGGACCCCAGGCAGGGCCATGGGTGCAGAACGGCTGCTTGGGGACAGTGGGGGACAAGCACTGGGGACAGTGCAGCACGGTCCGAAATGACACGCTCGGCGTTGGCCCCCGGTGCTCCGAGGGCATYGGGACCCTTCCATCAAGCGGCTCCCTTTCCCCTCGCAGGCGTGAAGGAGGAGGCGCTGAAGGAGGAGCCGCTGGAGCTGAAGAGCGACGGCCTCGCAG